AGGAAGTCAGTTTTGTTTTCCGTTATCTGGGGTTTCGCGAATTAGTAAGGGTTTGAGAAATCAGGATTTGCTACAACTGTAGTTTCAATGTCAATGGTAAGTTTCTTGTACGCATTAATTCATTTTAAATTCATTAATTCGTCTGTTTTAAAATTTCAAATCAGCTGTGAAAGATAGCCATTATAAATTAATAATTATGGGAATAATCACTGAAACATAAAAAAGTAAAAGATAAATGCCAAGATTCCGGGTAATATCTAAGTTAATGAACACCAAAAATTGTATTCCATCACACCATTACGTACTGCAATAGTAATGACTCACAGGTTGTGTTTTCCCTAGGTCGATTTGCTACTTAGCCTGCGAAGAGCAGACGGATTTTCGGTCGTCGCTTCTCTCCCTCCGAAAAATAACGTCTGCGAACCCGAGCGGCACAACGAGTTCTGTGACGTAAAACCTTTTAAGCCGATCACGCTTTAGCTCTTGAAATCAAGGAACTAACTCGCGAGACTTCTCGCAAGACCGTGCGCGGTGGATATGTCTACAAGTCGAAATTGAAAGGACGACGTTGCTTGTGTATAGCCGCCCTTTTTCCTCAGAACGACGCGTTCACGAAAGTTAATTTGCCAGGATTGTGGGACTGATTGATGAAATAAGCATCAAGAGGATTCACATTGAAGAAAAGATAAGAGGACACTTTTTTCTATTTGCCTGCGGAGTCAATGATTTATCACACCTAGTTGTTTTGATCATACACTGTATTCGAAACGGTAAATGTCCTAATGACAGTAGACGCATCATGCCGTTTGCTGCTTCTGTTGCTTTCTTGTTCCTCGAAGGAAAGTATGCTTTGGAGAACTCTTCGATAGTTTGTATAGATATCCTTTACATTCGAAAGCTAGGACATGTGGTAATTGATTTCCCATGCGTGGTTTCTTCTTGGTTCAGACAGAACTTTGATCAGATCGAAAGCATTTTATATTTGTCCTTATATTTGTTTAAATACATGTTGTCTTCAAGGTTTTAATTTGCATAGACTTATAAGATATCTCAAGGCGCCGTAGCTGAAACGTCATCTTGACTATGATCAATTTACTGCTGTAACTATTTATTTCACTCTGGGTCTGGCCCAGGTTTGTAGTATTTCAGATCATTGTTTTGTGGCGATACTTGAATTATTAACGAGCGATTTTCAGAGATTTCTGAATCAGCCAAGGATGTGTCTGTCTAATTGATTCACCACCTTTTGCCGGGGCTTGTTAAATTGAAATAAATATGTCTGAGCGCGATTTCATTTTTTTTATTTATTTTCATTTCGCTCTAGCGATTATTTCGTCCAGGTTTAGCCTGCGTGGGAGGCGTTCGAAAGGGAAGGGGAGGGAATTAGGGCGCGAGACCACGCGAGAGAGAGGAGGGAGGAGGGAGGAGGGGAACGCCTTCAAGGAAACCATTGTTTCGCCATCCCGCCTACTAATTAAAAAAAACCACAAAAATAACGCAACTGTGAATGACTAGCAGTCAAATAAGTCTGGCCGCGATGCACGTATTCTAGTCGTATTTCTCGCCCTGTTTTTCTTTTGTTTTCCTAAAACAAGAAATCTAAAGTAAAGGTACTATAAAAAAAAGTTCAAATGCGGCCGTCCATCGAAGGAATCTTCCTTGAAAGTTGCAACGACGCGTGCCGAGTTACACAAAATCCAGCATAAATCTACTCAAGTTGCTGCTGAAGGAATCGGGCTTGAAAACTATTTAATAAGAAATGTAGCGGCTCTTCGCAACTTTCAATGCAATGTTTGTCTAAGAAAAATTAAATCACTTTGCCATCACGCACTCTTTGGATTTCTATCAGGACGAATTGGATCCAGCGGAGCACTCAAAAGAACGCTGGTGGCGGGGAAAGAAGAGCTGAACTTCGAAGATCTGCAAGAAGGCAACAATTTGTTAGTAAAATAAGTTCCTGGCGGATTTATAACCGGCAAGAAGAAGTCCTCAACCAAAAATTGCCAAACGTTTTGGCTCGCTTCGTCTTCCATTATCTTGCTGTTGATAACGCGGGTCAAACAGCAGATAACAAGCATACAGGCAGCATGATTTTTCCTTTCTTTCTTCTGGCGAGTAAAACCGACAAGGCGTTGGAAGATGATACTTTTCAGAACCAGTCTGTAAAACTAATCTGCTGACAGGCCTTTTCCTTCATTATCATACGGTTCTTGAACTGCGTTTTTCTATTCTCCTTAAAAACTGAAATTGATGCCTTCTAACGATGAATTCCCGTAGAGAAATCTCATCGCGCTTCACTAATGACATATGTTTAGTTACTCAAATGGCGTGATGTTTATTTCAACCAATCGGAACAAGTCGAAGATTGACATGAAATTAACTCTGACCAATCACTATTTTTACGCTCAGAATCTGAGCGTAAAAAATGGAGAAAACAATAGCGTCCTTGCAGGGGTTCCTTTCCTTTCTCCCTCGCGCGCGCCCAAATTCCCCCTTCCCCTTCCCCTTCCCCTTTCAACGCCGGCCACGCAGGCTAGTCCAGGTTTAGTTTATGCCACGTACTACCGTATTTTATAAAGCGAAACCAAAGGCCCATATTACATACATAGCTTAAGAAGCAGTTGCTTCATAAAGAAGTCAGCATTCAACGTCGCAGGAAACCTCAGGTCTTGAAATTCACGTTCTAAAGCGTATTTGGTAACTCTCGCCAAAATTCAAGACAGGCCAGCGCGCGAGGTCTCGAGGAGTCACTCGAGCTGTATTCTATCCTTTGCTCTGACTGGCCAGCATCGAAAAATGAAAGTTTTTCGTCACAGAAATCGTTTTGCCGCTCTGGTGGGAAAGAGGGCGCTAAATCGAATCGTTACTATTTAAGTAATGGTCCAGATAAGAAGGAAAGGACCAAAACGCAGAAAGGGGGGAATTTCATATATCCCATGATGCATCGCTTCATACTATATTATCAAGCTTCCGAACGCACGTGATCCTATCAGTTCTTTCGACAGGGACGCGACAGGTGAACAACGGTGGAAAGCGACTTGTTTTGCCGATAAAACCTTCTGTACCTTTCCTGTGTCGATCTATTTACGATTTTCGTTCTACTATTCCAAATATATCTCTTGTTAAGTCAAAGAGAGTGTTTGGCCGCCGATTATTAGTTAACCACTGTAACTAGCCTTACGATCGCAAGAAGCTAGCGAGGAAGGTCTTTGCTTCAGTACGTCCTGTATTAACGTGCGTTGATAAAGCTCTCCATGGATTTACAAGCGATTTCCACGTACTTGTCTTGAAATAAGTACATATTCTAGGTGTGAGATTTCTCTTCGTTGCTTGTTTGTGATCGCGGTGCTCATATTGTCAGTTCAATAATTCATCGATACAGCACATCAACCGTTTGTTGCCCGCATTTACTTCAACAAGCTCGGCCTATGCAGTCGAAAATACCGAGACCGTCAAAGTACAAAGTGGCGTCTATCGGAGATAAAATTCAAAGGAAGGAAATAGCTCCAATAAACAATAAAAATAACAAAGATATCACCATATTTTTCGTAACGCAACACCAGCTAAGCATTCGTCAAACATAAACAGAAAAAAGCTTTATTAAGCAATGGCAAAATATATATACAAAAACGCCCACTTCCTCTTTACAATGGATCCTAAAAGAATTATCAAAATGTCTTTAAAGGTTTTATACGCCGGTTGAGGTCTTACGGCGTGCTATTCCATGACATTTGCGGCCTGTATATTTCAAGTTCGCCTCGCGCGGTTGCGACCGGAAGCCACCACGAGAAACCAATTTTACCTAAAATAATGAGACAAAAGAGCTTTAATACTATAAACCAGTGAATTTAAACACTCATCATACCCTCAAGAGATAATACTTGAGTTTTGATCAGCGAAAAAAGAGCGAATTCAGGGAAAAATGTCCCATCTTCGCTGGACTTAGCATAACGACATTGAAACCTTCACCTTGCATCTTAGCGGAGAAAGGGCAGAAAATGCGAAATTTCAAAAGGATCAAACCCATAAAAATCGCGAGGTCGAAAGAGGTCGGAGCGTGGAACTAGTATCAAGCACCCCTTGTCCGCCGATTTAAATAATTTATTGGGGCAAACCCTCTCTAGAATAAAGACAGTTTTCGATAATTGAAAGTCATCTAAATAAATATTCACTTGCGAGTTAAAACAGCATGGCTTAACAGGGTCGTAAAAGAGAGCAATAATGCGTGAAATGACTTTGGAAACATTTTACATTATCAATCAGGTACCAAAGATTGACAGGACTCATTGAAACTTACCTTGGATGTGCTGCTTCTTGAAATTCAGGTCGTTGAAAATCTCCCTCGAAACCCTCGAACGTTCTTTCCACCGCGAAGAGAAGACAGAAATTAGCCGCGAAGCATCATGGGATATATGAAATTCCCCCCTTTAAAACGCAGTGAGCACGTCGGAATGCAAAAAGGTGCTAACTTTACTATTGTCTCTACTAAGGTTCTGATTGGTTTAAACATCAAATTTTACCAAATCTTCGCAAAGCAGCGTGTACATTAATCCCTTTTTTTCTATCCAACTTCCTTATAACAAAATCTCGTCCGAGTCTAAGTAACACAGAAATCGTATGTGCGGATCATGTAAAATTGTGAACATTTCTTGGCCATTGTTTGCAGCTCTTGTGATTGGTCGAAATGTTTTAACACAAAAATACACCCTTTAAAAGTGGAGTTTAAATACATTTTCTTTCTTAAACAGCCTTTTTGTAAATTTATGCACTCACTGCGTAAAAATGAAAACATTTCTATGTGAGGAAAGCGTATTGCGCCACAACAAAAGAAATTGCTTCCCTTCTTACCTGGATCATTACTTAACTATAAGTGCTTTTTCAGGTGATAACTACACAAGACATGCGTACTGCTGTAATCAGCAAAATTGGGCTGGAAACTAAACCGCTAAGACATTTTAAAATTATCTTTATTCAGCCTCCTTTCTTTTTTTTTTTGACTAGTTCCTTCAGAAATAGAAGCACGCGGTGAAAACGCACAGCTTGCTTATCAAAGTGCTCTTAAAGATGGAGCTGTTAATGTTTACCGTAGTCGAGTATTGCTTATTGGCCAGGATAGGGCAGGAAAAACGAGTTTAAAGAAGTCTCTCATTGGTGTACCATTTAATCCAAAAGAAAAAAGTACTAAAGGAATTGAAGTGGATCCTTCAAAATTTCAGTTGGACGTTGATGAAGTCAGGAATTGGCAACCTATTGATGAGAGAAAACAAGGGTTGCTAGGATGCTTGAAAGATGTGGCTCAGATGGTGGTGGAAAAGATGTATGATATTTCAGTTAGCCGTGACTGGGTTCAGGAGGAGGAAAGAGGCAAAGCAAAGCACACCAGTGACCTTCAAAATGATGATAACAAGAATTGGGATCAGGTTGGTACAGATGGAGAAAAGGAAGAAGATTCTCTTTTGAACCAGGTTTGTCTGTTTCTTTGTTGGTTTTGAAATGCGATGATTTTTTCGTGAAGCCTTTGTTACTGCAAGAACGTCCTAACATTGCCAGAGTTATTATGAGTTATTATGCCTTCATAAGAAAGGTTTTAGTTATAAACTCACCACGGCTTCCCTGTCTTATGCTATGTCCGTATGGAAAATATGTGATAATTTCTAAGATCGTTTTCTACCGCGTTTTCCGGTGCTGGTTACAAAAAAATTAGCGTTGTTATACCAGTACGTTGAGTTCAAATTAAAGTAAGTGTAGCTATGTCTTTATTTAGATCTATAAGGAAAGTTTTCGCTTATTTTTCTTTTCTTAGTTGTTAATTTCAATTTCGCTGTGGGTATCCTTTCAGTTTGTTGTTGTTCTGACGGCAGAGCTGAGGAGGTGGAAGGCGGGGGAAGGGGGTGTGGGTGCTTTTATTGTATTTCATTTCGGCTTGTTTACCATTCACATGGGCAAACCATTTGGTTCACGGTTATTTACTTTATTTATTTTATTTATTTACTGGGTCACTCACAAAACCTTATACAACACGAACAAAAGGTGTTAATTAAATTATAAAATTAATGTGACAAGGAAGTCTAACGAAGCTTGAAGCTTATATTAATAGGCTTCCTTCAACTACCTAGTGAATTAAATTCATGGCTGAGTGCAGAGTGAGCAAGATCAGAAAATTAAGCGACAGATCGGCCATCAGTGAGATAATTCTTTAAATTTGTTTTAAAAAACAAATATAGAAGGAGAGCTAATTAGTGAAACAGGCAACAAATTCCAGATTTTAGGTCCTCGGTAAAGGATACTGAATTGCTTTATGTTTGTTCTACAAAAATGAGGTCTTTACTGAGAGGCTAGTCGAGTTTCGTATTAAAAAACTTGATTACTACTTAAGAAAAAGTCACGAAAGCTACGAGGCAAAAGATTATGGCGATAAGAATACATAAAGGTAGCGACAGAAAATGAATTAATACTAAATATGTCAAGGGCTTTAAGCTGGCTAAATAAATGGGCGGTATTTGCTAGATAGTGGGCTTTTGATATGAGCCGCACTAGACGCTTTTACAAAAGGTAAATACAGTTTAGGTTGGAACAGTAGATGGAGGACCAGGCGACATTACAGTATGTTAAGAAAGGATATACAAGGGAGTAATACAAGGTCATCAAAGTTTGGGATGATAGGTAAAAGCAGGCTTTCGCAATAATTCCCACACTTTTCGAAATTTTTTTGAGACGAAATCAATATGTGGTTTCCAAGAGAGATGCTGATCAATGAGAACACCTAAAAATTTTGTCTGCGTAACTTGCTTGATCACAGTATTTTCCAGAGTAAGAGGGACATTAACATTGACTTTCTTTTGTCTTGGATGAAAAATCATAAAATTTGTTTTAGTCACATTTAGAGATAACTTATTCACTTTAAGCCCAATAATTATTTTTGCAAGTTCATTGTTAACAATAGAAACGAGGTGGTTGGCATCTTTATGGGAACAAAAGATACTTGTGTCATCAGCAAACAGTAAAGATTGAGTGAGACTAGAGACATTAGGAAGATCATTAATGTAAATAATAAACAATAGAGGTCCAAAAATTGAGCCCTGCGGGACGCCACGTAAAATTGTCCGCAGATAAGATCGATGGGACCCAAACTGGACAAATTGAGTCCGATCGTCAAGATAGCTTTTGATCCACGCCAAAGCAGTATCCCGAATACCATAGTGTTGCAGTTTTTGACACAATATTTCATGATTAATAGTATCAAACGCCTTAGAAAGATCTAAGAAGATGCCTAAAATTGTTTCATTTCTGTCGATAGCTGAAAGATATGTTGTTGATCAAGTCAATTAACGCTAATGCAGTAGAATGATGATTACGAAATCCAAATTGTTTCGAGTATAAAATATTATGCAAATTTAAGAAATTAATCAGTCGGTTGTACATGACTTTTTCAGAGAGTTTAGAAAAGGCTGGAAGAATTGATATTGGCCTGTAATTACTAAAAAGTGTTGGGTCATCTGCCTTAAAAACTGGAATCACTTTGGCTATTTTGAGAGATTCAGGAAACACACCAGTCGACAACGAAGTGTTTAAAATGGTTACAAGAGGCTGCGCAATATTTTGGAAAGACTGATGAATTATCTTCATGGATATATTATCATGTCCAGGAGATTTGTTAGCGTTGAACGATTTAACAATATTGTTTAATTCACCGACCGTTAGTGGTTGCAATGAAATGGATTCAGAAAGAAAGCTGCTAAAGAAATCCTTGGGTGATGAATTTGTGGAAGGAATTTTGTTCGCCAAATTTGGCCCTATATTGGTGAAGTAATCACAGAAATTATTGGCAATGTCAGTAGGATTCCTAATTTCCATTTCATTTTCGGTGAAGCTTGCAAGATACGGTGATTTAGCGACACGCCTGTTGGTTGGTTGGTTTGGGTAAATGTTATCAGAATTCAGATCGGGTAAAGTTCGCTCCTGAATCGCGTTTGGCATTTGTACAAATCAGTTCCATTCACCAAAAAATGACCGGGAAGGCCTGAAACTGCAATCAAAGATGGCCAAGAAATGAAACACGAATTTTTGTTTCGATCACTTCGTCGAGAGAAAAAGGACAACCTTCTTAAATGTTCCTAAGGGAAACAAGGCAAAGGGAAAAATATAAGAAAAAGAAAAGAAAGCAAAAAAACTAAAAAGAAAAAATAAAAATGTACAATAATAAAAAAAAAAACTTCGTTCCACCGGGATTCAAACTTGCAACCTAACCCACCAGCTCATAGCTTGTCTACTCCTATACCACTTGGGCCACGCTGCCACTCAGTCAGTAGACGGGTAAAATTATTAGCTTTAACCCAAATTTTATCTGTCGTAAACGTTGTTTGAAGCTGGTGGAGCTGTTTTTATCATGAAATTTAAGATGCATTTTGAAGGAAATAAGTTTAACTGTTATTTCAAAGCCATTTTGCATTATTTCGGTGTTAATTCACTGTCGGGTTCAAAGGGCGATCGATGTAGGGAACTGAAACCAGTCTTTTATCCATCGGTCATAGTCAACCGAAAGAACCAATTCATTGTGGGTTTCCCTCCGAGTAAAATGAATTCAAAGGTATAGTATTCAGGGAAAAGCAAGGTTCTGACGGTAAAAAAGACGAACTGAAACGCACTTCTGACAAACGAAGATATCCGGCCCACGACCTATTAAGCTGTAAAATCGTCTGCGAAGTGAGACGCATTGACAAAATAATGTTCTTTTATCTCGATTTTTGCTCTTATTTATTTGAAGCTCCTGCTCCAAATTGCTTAACTGTTCTCTGTAAAGTATTTTAGCAATCGAAAGTAATCGCCAAAACTTGGTCGCCAAAACGGCCGCGAAAACAGTCAAAACAATGTATTTACATTTATCATAATTACAATCACTCCCTCTCTACAAGGCTTATATGCTCGGATTCGGTCAAGGCTCGTAAAGGTTCTTAATGTTTCAGCTCACAGACCCCACTCTTACATTAAGACTTGGGGCTGTGGCTAGTGTGGCGGGCAAACCGTAAAAAGCTGTATTGAAGATAGGTTTTCTTTTCGTAGGGAATTCTAATTCTGATTCTAATCTATGCTGATGGAGGTTCTTGATGTCGTCATTACATTGCGGACACCATCGGATATATACAAATGTACAAATGCATGGGCCTAACGAGATTGCAAGCCGCTATGACCCACGCGCAACAAATTATAAACTCGCTTCGAGAGAACAAATTCATCAGGTACAGAAATATTTTAAAAAGTTTAGAACCTCGATTACATTTTTACAGGCCACAATGCTAATTACAATATTTAAATTGTTCAATTAATTATATACAGAAAACCTTTTTCCATGAATGCTGTGCCTTACTTGATATTGTGGTAACCGTGCTGTTCAAAACTGACTTAAAATCACTGACAGGTTCTGCTTGCCTTAAAGTTTCGGGAAAACTATTCCACAGAATAGCACCACTGTAGCGAAAACTATTACGGAGATAATTTGTGCGTGGCTGTGGAATAGTTAGTTTATTTACAGCATCTCGAAAAGGTATGGAGTGTAAGTACTCAGGAGCAAGGCCGTTGAGGGATTTAGAAACCATGAAGGCTTTTTGAATGTCACACTGAGTACTAAGATTTTTCCAATTCGAATTTTCCAGCAGCTGTGATGCATGTGCGTCATACAGTAGTTTGAGAAAGTTAGGGCCTGCGCTGCACGATTTTGGAGTTTTTAAAGTTTGTCTGCTAGTTTTGTACCACAGTTTTCCCAAACAACATTGCAATAGTCGAAATGCAGCTGATTCGAATTTTTGTAGACAAGATGCAATGTTCCTTGGGGAACAAATTACCTGACCCGTTTGGTAGCTGCAATACCAGAGGCAATTTTTCTAGCCAACCTCTCGATATGGCTGCACCAAGTAAGGTTTGCATCGATAAGTACACCCTGAGATTTTGACGTTGATACCTGGTTTACGGGAGTACCATTGATGTTCAGAACAGGAGTCTTGTTAGCGATCAGCCATTTGCTGATATTTTGCAAGTCTTCATTCAAACAGGACTGAATGATATTCACATCTTTATCAGCATAGGTAAGATGCGTATTATCGGCATACATTCTAGGATAAGAGCTAGATTAGCAAGCTGGTAAGTCGTTTATGTGTAGCAAAAACAATAGAGGACCCTTGAGGGACACCACATTAGAGGGAGCATGTTTGGAAAGTGAACATAGTTGAGTTCGATTTTCCAAATGTGACTTAAACCAATTGTAAGCATTTTTTTTAATTCCGTAGCCACTTAATTTAGACAGCAATATCGTGTCGTCTACCCTATCAAAGGCCTTTTTTAAATCTAGAAATACTACTTCTTTAACAGCGTTAATGTTTCTATGATCGATATCAAAAGCCGAGCTATCGGTCGCCTCTAGTAGAGCAGTGACCATAGAATGGATGGAACAAAATCCGGATTGACTTTTTAAAATAATGTTATGTTCTGATAGGTACGCGTATACCCGATCGTACGTTATTTTTTCGAATACTGGAACCTTAGCACTGGAGAGATTAAAGAAATGGGACGATAATTGTTCATATCACTCGAACTTGAAAATAGAACCTGAATGCAAATCAAACAGCCATTCACGTATTAGTCTCGCAGATATTTTTTAAGAGTGAAAAAAGTTGACTGCTGTTTGTTGGAGTAAAATAGAACGTCTGGTCAGCGATGTTAAGATATTCTAGACAACTACTGTTGTCGTTAGCTGCCGACGGGATCTTATTAGCAAGTTTTGGGCCTATTGTGGAAAAATGTTCATTAAACGCATCTGATAAGTCAGTAAGATTGGTACTAGAAACACCGTTTACAATTACTTCTTTAACAAGACGATATGTTATTGTTGAGATGTGAGTTCAAAAAGTTTTACTACCCAATTTTAAAACGCAGTTAATGGAACGTGACTCTTCTGGCCTCGTGTCACCTATTGGTGCGGTCCCTAAGAAGCACACTTCCGAGTGGTGGACCATTATTTACCACCTCTCGTACCAAGAGGGGACAGGCATTAACGATTATATTCCTAATGACCCCTATTCCCTTCAATATGTTCGGGTGGACGACGCCATTCGGGTCCTTCAGTCCCTGGGTCCTGGGTCCTTTATGGCTAAGAGTAAAGACTGACCTAAAATCTGCCTTTCGCCTTATCCCCATTTACCCCAATGGCTGGCATCTCTTAGGTATATACTGGAAAGCCCAGTATTTTGTCGACCCGTACCTCTTCTTTGGTTTCCGCTCCGCCCCTTTTCTGTTCAATCAACTTTCAAATGCATTAGAATGGATTCTGCGCCATAATTATAACCTCAAGAACGTCCTCCACATCTTGGACTTTTTTAATCCCTTAAAGTTCCCGCTTAGAATGCTTAACTTTCACTCCTAAAATGCACGCTCTTGCGCGTTTTTAGGTCCTTGCGCGCCCCAGTGGTCGCCTACGCAGCCTACGCAGCCTCCTTTAAAGGATCGGTGGTCGGTTCGCCTGGTAGAACGCCTGTCTCTGATCGGGACCCTCCAGTTTGCCTGTAAGGTCGTCATCCCCGGTAGAACGTTTTTACAACGTATTAGGAATCTTACTCGGGGCGTTCGTAGTCGTTTCCACCATATCCGCCTTACCAAGAAAACTTTTCTTTCCGGTTGGAACGGTCGCTCTTTTATTTTCTGGATTCCTCTGTGACGCCTTCTCCCCATATAGAAATGTTCACCGACGCTGCATGCACTGTCTGGTTCAGAGGTGTACTTTAATGGGAAATGGTTCCAAGGACGGTGGCCCCCTCACATGACGCTTAACAAGAAAACTGGTATAGCATCGAGTTTCAGGAACTTTTCCGTATCGCTGTGGCCTGCGCCATTTAGTATCCACATTTTTCGGATGATCTCCCTCAATTTTGGTGCAACAACGAATCTGTGGTCGCTATTATAAATTCGGAGCATTCGAAGGCCCTTCTCGTTATGGACCTTCTCAGGTTCTTAACCGTCCTTCCCATGAAACATAACTTCCTGTTCGAGCGCGCCACGTTCCCGGGGTCCTAACGAAATCGCTGACGCTCTGTCCCGCTTTCTGGAGGAGCGCCCTTCAGAGCAGCTGCACCCAAAGGCCATCGGGACCCTTGACCCATTCGCCTTCATTGATAACCCTTTAAGGAAGGAGGTTTTTAAGTACGCCAACTGGGACCTAGCCTGGAGAACGAATCGCACTCATGGCTCTGGAGAGAGACGTTTCATTCCCTTTTTCCTCATGCATCGTCTCGTTCACGGTAGTGG